GCTTGGTTTAAATCATGATCACGTTTTTATTTTGGTAGAGTTTTGCTACTGTTTTCTATGTATAAAAGTGAGAGCTACTTGGTCCTATATATAGGGTTAAGCAAGCAGGCATGCAAGGAGGACGGTTAGAAGGTGTGTGTCGTGCTTCCCGATGACTCGTTGCACACGGTCGCGATACCTCGTGCTTGTGGATTTGTCGTGCTTCCGATGACTCGTTGCCCACGGTCGCGACACCTCGTGCTTGCGGATTTGTCTAGCTTATGGATTTTTCATGCTTCCGATGACTCGTCACACAAGATCGCGACACCTCGTGCTTACGAGATTTGTCGTGCTTCTGATTTGTCGTGCTTGCAAATTTGTCGTGCTTGTAGATTTGTCGTGCTTGCAGATTTGTCGTGCTTGTAGATTTGTCGTGCTTCCGATGACTCGTCACACAAGATCGTGACACCACGTGCTTACGGGATTTGTCGGCTTCTGAATTGTCGTGCTTGCGGATTCGTTGTGCTTGCGGATTCTAAGCAAGTCAATCCCGAGCAGCTGTGTCTTGCTTCCGCAAACTTTTATATTTTTGTAAAAATATCAAGTTTGAAAAATCACGCCACCTCGTGCTTCGCGCCACGTCGTGTTTAAAATCCCGTCATGCTTGACAATTTTTCTTTTAATAACTAGGTCTTGGCTCGATCATTTTTCGTAATTGTTTTGATCTCTAGGCAAGGTTATTACATTCTACCCCCCTTAAAAATAATTCTTAAGGTTGAATACTTCATCCACTTGTCCCCCCCTCGTGCCTATCGGTTTCCAAGATTGGATCTCAACCTCTAGCAAGAGTCAATCAATTTCAACTGCAATATACTCCGGAATTTCACCACACACTGTAACTCATAAATGCATGCACATGCAATCACACCAATCAAATAAAAGAGTTAAAACCCATACTTATCTGTGGTAGTATCTTTTGATGATCCTAATAACCTAGCCGGTGGCAGACCTAACTGATATACTCTCTGTTATACATGGCCTCTTTGTCGGGGGTTCTTTTTCTTCATCGGTCGATGAGGGTGGAGCAACAGTCATTGCAACTACCATTGGGTGAGTGGACATGTATTCGCATAATAACCCTTTTCTCCACAGCAAAAGCATACTACATTGGCAAGAGCATAAGGTTGCTTTTGTCCTCCGTAAGGACATTCTCGGACTCAGTGTCCTGTCTCATCACATGAGTAACATACATAATCAGAGTCTGAGGTCGCTCCTGCACTATCACCACGGTTTTCTCGACGTCTCCCTCGTCCACTTGACTGTCCTTGACTTATCGAGTTGTTCTGCTTTTGACCTTGATCAGCTCTTGAATCGTTGCTCCCACTTCCTTGTCCTTGGGATACAATTTTCTTTTCCTTAGCTAAACCTTCACTAACTAAACTTTCTTCGATGTTGACGGTCTTTTCAACCAATTCTAGGAAGCTTGTATGCCCCACAACCAGAAGTATACTACAAATATATGGGCGTAAACCTCTAAGAAATTTCCTAACCATGGAAAGTTCATTATCACGTCCATAAAAAACATATCTCCGAAGCCTTG